AATCTGGGTTTGTATTTTTTTCCAAACCCAATACAGCTTTCATAATGAGGTCTCTTTCTGACTTGTGACAGGCCGGGCAGGCCTTATAAGCCGCATTTACAGGGTACGAACGCCGAGTTGCGACACAGTTACCACCACGGAGGCGACAGCCTTGCCACCTCCGCTTTCGCTTGGCTGGCGGTGAAAGGCGAGAAAGTGAGAAAGTGGGAAAGTGGGAAAGTGTGCCAAGAAGCGGTAACAAGAGACAGTCAAACGAAACTGTGACACAGGAGCTGGGGTGAGCGAATCTCAAAGGACTTGCTGCACTTAAAGCATCGCGGTGGCCATTAAAAATGATGTGCAATAAGCAGCAGAAGCAGCAGCAAATAATGAAATTATAATTAAAGCCAGAGTCGGGTGAAAAACTCGCAAGACCATCAAGTGCACAAAATGAAGCGGCCACAAAATGCAGACAACGAATTCAATTACCTTCGAGGGTCCTGTCCTGCCGGCAAAAGTGTGGGCGTGGCGTAATGAAGAAATTATGAAGTGCATTAAAGCGCAGGAAGGCAAACAGGCAAACAAAACCAGGACCAAAAGGACCAAAAGGACCAAGGCGAAGGAAGATGAATACAACGATTGAGCTGTCCCGAGGATAAGGCAGCAGAAAAACGGAAAGGAATTAAGGGCAGGAGGCGATGGCAAAGGACAGGACAATAAAATGCAGCCAGCGGCACTGAAACCAACAAAAAAAAGGAAAGAAAAAAGCAAAACAGCGGGCAAAACATTGAGGGAAATCCGCAGGAGGGGAAAACCCAAAGGCGGAGTGAAGTAAGCCAATTACCAAAGCCAAAACGAGCAGCGACTCCAATTTATTTTCATCTTACACATACCCACAATAATTGCTTCTGTCTTATTTTTATACTCTTCAAGAGGGACGTGTTATTTAAGGAAAACCATTGTGAGTTTGCAAGGAAAACGTGTATTTTATTTCACACAAAATCACATTGCTTTAGATTGTTTTTTAAGCTCTGTAATTTTCCTATTAATGCCTACCAAATTCACAACCTTTCAATCTACATTTTTTATTTAAGTTAATGTTTTGAAATATTTGCTATAATTTCTCTCCAAACTAAAAGATAAATAAATCATATTCCTTTGTATTTATTTCACTTCTTTCTAAAAGCTATAATTATTTATATTTTTCTTTATTTAATATATCAATTTATATAGAGAATATCGAAAATTCAGATATCAACCTTTTATTGTAACATATTTTTTGCCTGATTGCAACTTTGCCTCGTATTCATTTAAGTCGGTTTATTTTTAGCCTGGCCAGGATACTTAGTCCTGTTCCCCCTTTGGGATCCTCCAGATCTCCCTCGTGGCACCCCCTTTCCATCCACCCTTTTTGTATTTAATTGAAATGCCTGTCGCGGCCAAGGCTAACGAAGGATGCTCAATGTCCTTGACTTTGGGACTCGAATATGGAGCTGAATAACAGGGAAAAACCAAAAGGAATTGAGAAACTAAAAAACATTATATCAATTAAAGCAGTCAAATACTTGAATTAATGTCGGTTTGGTCAAGAATTTGAATTAATGTCGGTTTGTTATTTAATTACAAAACATGAAAATAAGGATAGAGCTTTTGTCTGATAAATTTTTATAATAATCTACAAGTTCAGCAAAAGCTTTTAAAATAGCTCACTACTATAAAGTAATATTTAAGCCCACTTATGAAAGTAAACATTTTGCATTATGCAAATTGCAAAATTGAATAACCTATAATATATTTATCCTATTATAGTCATATAATTTGTCCACTAAAATTGCACCACAAAATACTCGTTATTTTCGCCAACAACTTTTTCCACCAAAAACAAATTTAGATTCAATTAGCGCACAATTTAAACTCAATTTAAGTTTTAGGCCTTAAATAACATTTAAATGCCATGTCATTTGATAGCATAAACCAGCGATTTGTCACGTGGTGTGAGTGGAGAATGGAGTGTGGAAAGTTGGCTGGCATTTTTGGGGGCTATGAAGTAGTCGCTGGTTTTGCAGGAAGCCAACTTGTCATTCATCAAACTTTTTCAATAAAACTTTTGCGCCGCCTCTCGTCGCTGGCCAAGCTGCAAATCCGTCGCCCATTGGAAAAGCCGAAAAAGCTTTCGGGGAAAGTGGAGAAAGTCAAGTGTGGGCGAGTGAAATGCGAAATGCAAAGTTCCTGTAGTCCGCCCGTCCAATTTCACTCGAGAGTTTCGATTTCCAGTCCATGTTGTTGTCTACTGCCATTGTCAACAGTTGCCCATGGCCATGCCCTCTGATCCACTAACCTAACTTCCATCGGAATCAACTTTCTACACAGAGATTAAAGTTATGCCATCTATGTATAAAACCTTCTTTTTAGAACCACCTGAAAAGCAGTGCAAAAACAATCAACTAATATAAATAAACCATACTTCTTCCATTTTATAATACTATTACTTTACCCAAAACTAAGAATTCTTAAATTAAATTCTAAAAGATTATTATTTATTAAAGTTATGATAATTTTCTATTCGTTCCCCTTTTTAAAGATATATAGTTTCTGCCTTGATGAATTGAACATAACATTTGTAATGTTTCTTTAAATCTTTAGCATTTTTTCAGTTAAAAATTACTACCTACTACTACTAGGTATTGACTATAAGATTAAGTGTTAAAAAAGCAACATAAAATATGTATAAAATTCAGCTTTAGTTTTTTCTCCGTGTAAAGCATTCATTTTGAAGCTCTGACAAACAAATATTATATTGTGTTCCATATCGATTTCCTCTTTAGCCGCTCCTGCATTCAATTTTCAGGATGAGCCGTGCAACTTTTATGTTGAGCTCATCATTTTGCCAACTGCTCCGAGGAGGGGAATAGGGGATGGGGAGGGGGAGGGGGGGTGATGGGCGGGAAAATCGGTCTGGAAAAATACTGAATACTGAATGGCAGGGCACTAAGCGGAACAGACAAAAAAGAAACACGAATGGGGAAGGACGAAGGATGAAGCTGGAGCTCAGGAAGGGCAAATTGACAAAAGAAGCTGCTCGAAGGACTCGCTGGCTGAGCGAACTTCCAAGGAGCAGGACCAAAGGGGATCGGGTCGCATAGTTGAGCCGACACACAATCAATGCAATCTAGAGTTGGCAAGCATGAGCTGCCGGAGCTCCATCAATTTCCATAATTAATCATGCAAGACACAGCACACACAAAAGGGTTAAGCGAAGGCTTTTGGGTGCTCTTCAGATCAAATCGAATCAAATCAAATTGAATAGTAACAATGCAAAAGTTTCGCCCGGCAATGGCAATCCCTAGAAAAACTTATCCAAATTTGATGGATTATATAATGGCATTTTATTATATAACCAAAGTCTATCCCCCTTTTGGTAATACTCATTTAAACGAGACACTTTTGTTATTTTTTCATTAATAAACTGAAATAACCATATATATTTTTTTTTTGTATTTTTTCCCTAGCTAAAACAAAGGTAATATGTAAGTTTACTCTATATAACAAGGAAATCCCTATGCAGGATAAATAAAAAAATAGCATGCCACCTTTTAAAAGCTCTTAAATCTAAAAATACATTTGCTTAGGTCCCAAAATAAATTGAATTCAGACCAAAAATAGAAGGGCCAAGCAATTTCCCAGCTTAAGGTTGGCCCACAAAAAAATACACACCCTCACAACTCCTAATAGGTTTTCAATAGAAAATCCATTCAAGGCTGCTGCAATGATTTTCCGCCCCGCAAAAAAAAAGAAAAGTTCGCCATGCATAAATTTCGACCGGGCGACAAAAACAGCCGCGAAACCGCAAGCGCGTTTTACGAGCGTTTTATTTTTTATTTTTTCGCCTGCCAACCTCAAGATGCGGAAAAAATATCTGCAACGCGGGCAGGCCAACGGCTGTGGATGCATGGCCATGAATTGACCCAAACTGAAAATGGTTAGCACGTTTTGGCAGGGGTTAGTCATGGCCAGCGGCGAAACAATCGGGTTAGGGGAGGGTTAACTGGGCGGCGGAGGGTTAAGCGGGGCCGTTGGGGGGTTAACCGGGGTGCAGAAGTATAGTACAGACATGGCCGCTTACGCTTCGCAATACAGCCCCAGGCGACCAGCAGAGTTCTCAGAGCTACACAAAAAAACACAGAGACGGAAACCGAAAAGAAAAGAAAAATACAGTGAGTACTCGTAAAAAAGGAATAAATCAGAAGGTGGGCGATGACAGGCGGGCATCGGTGAAAAAAAGCGGACAATGCGAGATGGTTCTGAACTAACGAACTGCACAATTAACAGAGCTGACTCAATGATTCTAATAAAGTTGGAAACCAATAGAAAGAAACAAGGAAATTTTATGCCAAGCTGTTTGAAAAACAAAATAGTATTGAAAAACTGAATTCTAATTTTGGATTTAAGAAAAACAGTGAACTAAAAAAATAATACGATGATAAATTCATTTTTCTTTGAATTATAAAACTCTCAGTCATTATAGATAAGGAATATTTTTGTATTCCATCAATATTTAAATTGTAATCTTTATTAAAAAGCAAATAATAATTTAAATGTACTAGTTTTGCTTATAAGCAATGTAAATGAATTTATAGAAGTATAAATTTAAAATCTATTTGGAATCTGTACAATCAGATATCAAATAGTTCAACTAAGGAAGGCCACAAATATCTTTTATTTATTTTCAAGCTTATAAATAATGACAATTAATAACCAAGTAAAACTCTTATGAATTTATTTATATGAAAAACACTTTTTGTATTTTTCTGAGTTACACCTTTTCATAATTTTTGAGTCAAATAATATCGCTCACAAAATAGTTAATAATTCTTGTTGGTTTCCACCGCTAACTAGTCACAGAACCTGAAATGTATATTAATATATGACCTTGGTACTGATGACACTGTAAGTAAGTGCCTAGGAAAAAGCATGAAATGTCCATGTGGATGGAGAAGTCCTCGAGTGGACCATTGGCTTACCATTCTGGGTGGTGCTGCCCTGGAAGAGGTTCCGCAGATAGGTGATCAGCCGGCGGTGCAGTGGTCGATGGCGGTGGCGCGAGGATTTGCGGTGCGAGGAGGAGGACTCCTGGCCGCCACCGCCCTGCTCCACATCCTCCACGTCCAGTGTGGAGACGACCGCTGCTCCTGGGCCACTGCTGGCCACCAACTCCTTGCCGCACTGGCTGGCGTCCACAATGATCTCGATGCTGCGCTGCGTGCTGGACTTCTTGATACCCAGCGCTGCCGTGCTGCCAGATGCTGCTCCTCCACCGACTCCACCTCCACCTCCTCCTCCTCCGCCGCCGCCCGAGGTTATGGTCCCGATCAGGGCATCCGTGACACTCGATCCCGTGCCGGCAATGCTGCTCACCGTCTGATGGTGCACCTGCTGCTCCCGCTGCACTCCCGCCCCTCCCCCACTCGACCCGTGAGCAGGTGGTGCTGGGCGGTGGAGGGCAGCTCGTTGACGGTGCCATTGCTGTGGCTGCCACGGTAGATCAGCTCCGTTTCGTTGCTCACCTGCCGCAGAGCATGCAGTCCGGTGTGCGATGCACTGCTTGTTATTCCGCCGGAGGAGGATCCTCCTCCTGCTCCTCCACCTCCTCCGCCTCCACCTCCTCCACTGGATCCACCATTTAGACCCGTGTAGTAGGCGCTATTGGGTCGCTGGCTGTGCTGCACCTGCGGCCCGGCCATGTCGTTTCTCTCAGTGTATTTGTTTGAGTCCTACTGGAGCGGCTTGTTCCTCCGATCTCCTTTCTCCTTCTCCTTCTCCTCCTCCCAATCCTGATCCTCTCTAGGCGCTGGCTTTAATTGTCGCTGGCTGGTTTTAGTGGTTTTAGTGGCATGTTGGACTTTTACATTTTTACGGCGGTGGCGGGGTTAGACAAAGTGGGTTAAAGCGTCGCGGCATCTGCGAGAAGCGAGTAAAATCAAGCAAAGTATATTAGAATACATACACCAAAGCGCTAGGTTCTATACCGATCAAAGATTTAACAAAAAAAAGTATTTTAGGAAATTAATTAACTCTTTATGTATTATATAAAATTAAAAAATTAGGCCATCAAATAAGTTATTAATTATTTAAATTATAATGAAATTACAAATAACATTTTTCAGAAACTATACAAAGTACTCTAGCAATTTAGATTTAATTTTCTTTACTTGTTTACTTTTCTCATTCAATAATATAAAACAAACAAATAACCAATAAATATAGAAAGCGAAAATGTTCTCTACAAAAATAATACATCAATTATTAATAACATTTAAGTACGTATTTTTAAGCTTATTAATTTGATCGGCATAGAAGGAATAACAAAGAAAACTATTTTCAGGAATTTTACATTATTCGATTTGCCAGCAGCAGCGTTGCATTTGTGTGTGTTAAAGCGGGTGCATGTGTGTGTGTATGGGTATTAAGCTCTTGTAAGCTGCTTTGTTATCCGATTTTAATCCTATTTACCATATATGAAACACTAAACGAGACAATTGCCTTCTCAGTAAATTGTGGCAAGCTAAAATGCCTTGTAAATTTATTGAGACGCATAGCTTTATTCTGAGCCACAATTAAGACTTACAAAATATATATTCTATCGGTCTTTGATAGTGTATATTGAAAATAAAATAATATTTTATAAATAATATTTATATTTACAAAAGGATAGCCCGTGAAATTTCCCAATGAGAACACAGTAATTATAAGGCACTTTTAAATTATTAACACTTGCAAAATATATATATAATTTAATATATATATATATTTAACAGGATATAAAATGACTATTATTGTTTTATATTTTAAGTCCCCTATTAAAAGTAGGCGGCGTGCCAAGAATCAAATGGGTGATGCTGTCAGTGTGGGAGTTCAGATCAGTTTTGGGGCCAACCTCGTAGAGAGCAGTTCGAGAAACTAGCCAAAATTCCAAATTTGTCCGTTGCATAACTCCGTGTTTTTTTTTTCACTTCCCTCCCCCCTTGGTCCCCCTGCCGTTCTCCACCATGAACACTTTGAAGTCCGACGACAAGCCCTTCAATCCGTTCTACATTGGTCCGCATCCCAGCAAGGCGTGCGCCATTCCCGAGATTCCCGGCCAGCAATGTTCCCCGAATTGCCAACCGCCGGAGGGGCAGGCCAAGTCGTCACCCGCAGCTCATTCGGATGGCCAGGATCCCATGGGCGTGCCCAGCGGAACGGCAGGCGGCATGGTCATCGTGGGCGTGGCCAACATATATAGCACCGTGGAGGTCCTGGCAGCCGCCGCTCGAGCGGGCGAAGCGACCGGAGCGGGAACGGGAGCGGATCACGGACCGCAGGCGCCCAACAACACCATTTGCAAGCCGTATCCCTGCATGGAAGGCGCCCGCACCGAATCCCCCGGCTGTGATTAGTCCGGAGGAGGAGTGTCCAACGAGGGTCAACAGTCAATCCACCAACTGGCCATTTGCATCATCACTAATCCACCTGAGGTAGCCCCAAAAACATGAATAAATAGCTAAGAAAACCAAGTCACAATGTTTGTTTTTCTATAATTAAAAAAAACAATTATCAGGGTTTCCATAGTACTTAATGAAAAACTATTTTATCCTTCTCCATTCAATAAGTTTCCAATTAAGGATAACTCCAATATATTAATTAATCTGATGATTTGTACTTCATTATCTAAGAATTACTACAATGAAAAAATGTTTTTTTTAATTTAATAAAAATTAATGGTTAAGTTTGACCTTTGATTTTATTTTTGTCAGAACCAAAGAGTTTTTATATATTCCTAATAATCAACAACCTCAACTGAGAGACATATTTTTGCCCGTAAATCATAATTTCTTCTTTAAAAAATTGAACTTGTTTATTTTTCCCACTCATTATTACCAAAACTGAAGGCATTACTTCAGAGTTCCTTTGCTGCCCGTTAACCGCTCAACAATAAACGATTCGAGTGGAATCCCATTTGGGGAGCATTATTTTTGAAAGAATTTCGCTCGCACATTTGCAAGCCGTTGCGATGGATTTCATCTGGAGCTGCAGCTGCATCATTTATGGTTCGATGGCAACTGGCAACTGGCAAATGGATCAGGAGCACCGACAGCATCCTCGACATCCTCCACATCCTCGACATCCTCGGCATCCTTTAGCCCCTGCGAACGGTGCGTTCGGCTTGGAGTCTATCGAACGTATTGCTTTTGCAAATTCAATGAAGTAAAAATTTATTATTTATTGATAGACTTATGCAAGTGCACAACAGGAGCGGGAACAGCAAAAAGGACCTGCATCCTTACCATCCACTACCAGTGCTGCATGGTTGTACTTTTCGCCCAAAAGAGTTTGGCATTTTACTTTGCCCGTTTAATGAACTCTTGCGGGCTTACAAGATTGTATACTTTATTGTAGCCATTGTTTAAGGAAATGTTTAAGCGACAGCTTAAAAATTTTTATATTTCTGGCAATACTTTTATTAATTCCATTCATCTAAGGACAAAAAACCAAAAGTGAATAATCATATGTAGAATTTAAGGAGCTCTTTATACTTATCTCGATATAATGATTTTACTTGATTTTTATTCCCATATAAAGATCAGTTCTTGTTTGAGTTTTCCATCAACTAATATTTAAATCATAGAATATTTCAATTACAAAAGTTGTTGATTAAATATATAAAATACCTTTTGATTATAAAAAATATACTTAATAAACTATTCTCAATGTTAATGGGACTAAAAGAAGAATTCTGGATAAAAAACAACCTATTCAAGTTAAGAACTTAATCATAGTTAAACTTTACTACAGAATAATTGGCTGTTAAAAAACAGGTATAAAAAATACTTGTTTGCCCAATTCTCTAGCTTTTCTTTTGGCATCCCTGTCGAGGACACCCCCGCATGTGTGTCCTTGTGTGTGTGTGAGTGTGTGTATGTGTGTGGCTGCGTATGTTTGCACTCGTCCTGGCTGTTCGCAAAATTGCAGTCGATGCTGCCTTTGCTTTTGCCTTCTTTGCCAGCACCTGTTTGCCAAATGATTTATGCATTTCACCCATTTTGCCGTCGACGTTTCACGTGCAACAAAACTGGCAAACAACTGCAAGTGGAGGTGCAAGTGCAAGTGCAAGTGCAACTGCAACCCGCGGGCAATAACAACAACGCCTAATGTGATTTTCTTGTTAAATGGAAGTCGAGTCGAGAAAAATGGAGCACTTTGCTGCCAGTTTTTATTCGCTTTAGACTCGTTGTCAAACCTTTTAATAGTCGTTAGTTTGTTAAGCATTTAAGCTACTACGAATTTCTTTGAGTGCCTGTCACTAACGGAAAGTCGTAAAAACATTTTTCAACTGCCATCAAAAAATTGAAGAGAAGTAGGGCATTTCGATTAGTTTAATTGAAGTGGACAAGATTGATTTTATTTCTTGTTCAACAATTCAAATAACCCAAAACCTCAGAGTGTGCAAAATAATTGATATTATTGAAAGGAGTGTTATAGGATTGCATTGCTATTTGAAAGATTAAGTAAAAACATTTGACACTATAAGATAAAAATAACGTTCTTAAAATAAATCAAAGGTAACATGTTAAACCTTTCAAGAATTAATTCAATTATTTTCTTGCAAACTAACTACTTAATTTTACAAAACTAACTGCCTTTATTTTTAGATTTGCATATTTTGTATTGATGTTAATATATATATTTGTGAATATATATTTTCTTGTATTCAACGCTTAGGTCTGTAACACAAATTAAGCAATTTATACCACTAATAAATCAAACTATCTGTCTTCAAAAGTCCCTTCTCACATTGCTGTTCAATTTTTCCCAAGAGCTTTAAAGTCTTGTTACCCAAATATCGATCATACGCACTGTGTGTATGCAAAAAGACAGCCTTAAGGCCACCTGAAATCCGACTCCCATTTCAGCAATTTCATTTCCAACTGTCAACAAATCGAGTGCAGAAATGGAACAACAACGGCAGCATCTCTCCATGGATGGGGAGCAACTTAATTTATTGAAATGTCCGGAAATGTAAGCATTAAAAGCGCCGCACGACGAATGGAAAACAAAGCATAAATATCTATTAAAATGAGATTGAAATAAATTACAATTTACGGGGGGGAGGGGAGGGGAGGCGAGTGGCGGGGAAATGGGCCAGCGACACGCCAACCCAGGACATTTAATGCCAAGGATGGGCAAGGACATGGGCATGGGCATGCTCCATTCGAATCCGGAGCGAAGGTCAGGTGGCTGACTTGGTTCTTGGGCAAAAACTGGAGTGCAGGGCAAACACTAAACACTTCTCCGATGGCGCTGGTCGACGAGGAGCAGTCATGTGAACATGGTGGGGAAATTAAGTGCAGGGATCCATGGATCCATGGCCATGGACAACAAAAGGACTCGCATACTTAGACGCACTTGAGCGTGCGGCTAAGATGGGCTTGCTCTTCGTCTTGGTCTTGATATTGGTCTTGGGCGGGGACCATGAAAAATGGAAGCACCGCCGACGAACGGCAGAGGAAATGAAGCTGAACTTTATTATAACAATACACAATAATCGTGTGCGAGCTGCGTCTCGAGTTTCCTCCGTCGGCTTCCTTCCATCCCCCATCCCCCATCCCCCTCCCCCATTTTCATCCTGATTTTCCGTCATGATGGAGTGCGGCGGAAAAAGGAAAGCGGATATGCCGCTTGAAAGGTAAACGGCAGCGGAAGCCAAACCGCACAAAATTATGACGAAAACAAATACAAATCTCTTGCAATTGACTTGAAAACATGCGGATGATCAACTAGAAAAATATCCTATTTTAAAGTTTATTTCTACATAAATATTAAACTAGATCAATAGAGGTTAAATCCTAAAAAGCTTAGTTATTTGTCTAAATTTTATTTCACGAATTCTATTAATTTGTAAAAAGGTAAATATTTCAATGTTTGTGGAAAGGTTAGGCAAATGTTAAATTGTTTATGATAAATATTTTTCATGTTTTTTGTTTTCTTGCTATTATTTTTTACATATAAATATTAAATGTACAAAATCCATTAGCATACTTCTTTGGTTTTATATTAGATAATATAATAGTCTTAAGCACAACTATAATGTTTAGGTAAGTTGGGTATACATTTTTTCGCTGCGTAATATTATATCCTCAACCCAGTTACGCTCAACAAGTTGGATTGCATGCAATCCACGAATAAATTAAAACCGCTTGGCAATTTCTCACTTTCTATACGAGCGGATGCTAATTGATGGCGGGGCGGGGGTATTTCTCCCAGTGCATGCACGTACATGGCACGCGAAGGCGCTTAACTAAACAAGCAGAAGACGTGCAGTCGGGCGGGAAATGCATTCCATGCCATGCCATCTTGCCATCATGCCATTCCATTCCAAACAGGACTCGCTCCTGCGGTTGCCGAGCCGTGAGCTCCTTTCGTCACGAAATCCCAGTAAAATGTCAAGTGCACTTCGGCATCCTGCCATCCTGCATTCACAATACCCTACTCTAAGGACTCGACTCGCGACTTCCTGGACTTCTCCTGGTCGCATCCCCATAAGTATGCGCAATATTCAAACGGGAAGGTGAAAGGAAATTGGATTTTTGTTGACATTATTTTATAAAAATATCCGGACCCCCAACAACAATGGACTTTGGCGTCGCTTCAGTTTGGTCAGAGGAATTTGCAAACCCATCGAAAGTTCCTGCTTTCCCACGAAAACTCCAACATTTCTCCTCCTCTGCAGCTGCTTTCTTTTTTCACTCTGCGTTCTCATGCATGTGAGTTGGCAAACATATTTTGATTTTGCATAATAAATTGCGTTCTGTATGCGAACGGCCAAGACAAAGTGGCAGAATATGAGGTGCTCACCACAAATCGACGGAATTGATACCCTGTTCAATTTACTTAACACCATTTCTTGCCAAAATGTTCTTATAAGTTTAATATTCTTTATAGTATATAGTATAGTCTGCAGGTTAACCAAGTATATTAAGCTTATACGTTTTAAAAATAAAAGTCAGTTGAGCTTGTAAAGAAGCAAACATAAAAATAAAGACATTTTTTTGTACTAAATTGATTAATATAAGATATATACCTTTCATTACATATATTTCGTAAATTTTAGCAATAAAATTTTCTGCGACTGCTTTACAATTTTAATAGAATTATAAAACCCCAATTATTAATGATTTACAAAATAACGTAATGGGTATTTACAAGTCGCAAGCAGCTATTTACACCCGTGAATTTTTAGGCGACTTTGGTTTTTCACTCTCGCCATTGAGAAATTGCAGTGCAAATGCACTTTGTATGCTGGTGCATCTGTTGAGAGCAGAAACCAATCAAATTTCCATGTTTGAAATATTCCATGAAAAATTGTGTTGCATATGCTTAACTTGTTTTTTTATTCGAAAGGACTGCCATTTTTTTGGTGAGCTGCAAACACACTGACAAATACACACACGCACAATGCCCAAAAACTAGGTGATGCGGATAAGTGGGTGGGTGTTTTTTTGGGGGCTGGATGTTT